CAAAATTTCTTTTTTACTTTATAGGATTAAAAGTTTGGGCCATTTTTTTATATCATGTTTGATATCATGTCATTTTCAAAATTCAGAACTACGATAGGCTAACTCCCCGCACATCCCTAATAACTCGCTAATTCCTATTCGTTAAAGACCCGTGAGATACTCTTAATTTCGAATTGAAGCCCCTGCGACAACTTTTTATTAAGATCCTCCTCGGAGGAAACGGACTTTTACTTACTTCTTGACCGGCAGCCTTCACGCACTCTTATCCGTCAGTTTTTTCACGAGCAAACTTAAACCTTTTTATGAACATTCGTGTATCTTCGCGTTCGTTTATGTTCGCATTCGCTTTTTAACTCTCGGTTTAGCTTTTGTTGATTCGCCCCGAAGTAACCGCAGATTTAATTATTTAAACTTTAAAATTGGGACAGGTAAATTAAATAAGTTTCTAATTTCATTCAAATATCACTTTATTTTATTCCGAATGGGAATGTTCCTTTTTCGTGCGCTCCTGTTGTCTTCGACCTCACTGCGGAACCCTTTTTTTTGTCAAAGGCAGGAGAAATGCATTTACGCACACCTAGAGAGCAACCGTTCCCCCTAGGTAGTGTGGGACTCATCTGTTAAGCGGAAATACCCCCTCCTTACATACACATGACATCACGACATTAAAGGAAAACAACCTCGGAACTCCGGAGGACACAACTTCAAGATTGCCCCAGTCATAACTGAAAAACAGCAACTACGAGCACGGCTGACAAAACACAATTAGACTTAGGACCCGAATGGGTCCCTGTTATAGGACGTCACGAGAAGCGCCGGCAGGAGAGGAGAAAAGGACTCCCCGCCCACGATTCCCGGCATCCACACCACGTTTATAAAGGAGGTGAGAAACAACACACACCACCCACCAACATCATAGATATAAGATTAACCAGGTAAACAAATAATTAACACTGAGAACTTCTAGAGTTAGCAGACGACGAGGACGGTTAGTACCGGATCAGCACGTATAAAGGCACGCACCAATCAGGACAACGAGGACGAGCAAGGACGCAACGCGGGATGTGCCCAATAAAAGGAGAATGCGATCAGCCACGCGGGAGACCGATCCCATTACTCCCCCGAACAGGAGACCAACACGTCAAAAGACGCGACGCTATCCAGTCGGATCCTCCACCGCCAGCTGTTTCCTCCTCTCCGCATCCTCCTTAATACACATAATCTCTTCTGAGAAGGAGGAAACTACTCCCCAATTCTCCTCGCCAGAAAGCAAAATGGGGACCAGCGTATCATTCCTAAGAGTGTTCCCCACTATCAGCGCCAGGTCGTCCCGCCAGAAAGACCAGGCGTCGCAATCCGATAAGGTATGGGACGCATCATCCCTATCACGCTCGCAGTGTTTGCATCCATCGGAGTAATACCTCCCAATCCGTTTGAGGTAAACGCTAAAGCACCCGTGGCCAGTAAGGAGCTGGGTCATCCTGTACGTGAGGTTCCCGAAACCTCGCGTCATCCATTCGGTAAAATGGGGAAATATCATGGCCCTAACACGTTGAGCCGGGTCACCAGGGCCCAACCCCTCGATGTGTGCCTTCCACATATTGAGCATTATCTCGTTGCCTTTATCCTTTATGGCCGCGCGAGCTCCATTCGAGATTTTACAATTGTTTCTCCGCTCAATCTGCCGGATAGTATTGAAAACATACAGTCTGTTCTCTGCAATGAATCGAAACGGAGGGATCCTAGCGAGCAATGTAGCCGCAATGTACGAGACAGTACAGTACGCCGAGATAATTGCCACCCGACGCTGCACCCGAAGCACCAAACGTATGTTACGATTGGTAAAAATCTGATTTTTCGCCCACACAGGGGCCGCATAGAGCAAAACAGAATGTATGACGCTCGCATACAGCATACGCTTCGCACTCGAGGGGCCACGAAAATTAGGCATCAAAGCATTAAGGGCACTAAGAAATCTCTCCGCCCTGACCGCCGCATTGTTAAAGTGTTCCGAAAAGCGCCAATGAGTATCAATGATAACTCCAAGATATTTCATGGTATCTCCCGTGATCACGGGGACCGAGTCCAGAACTGGAGAGGTCCGGGATCAGCCCCTCGAGGGCTAAAAAGTAAAGCCTCGGTCTTGGTCGGAGAGACCTCCAGGCCTAATCCTCGAATGTGCTGCATGACAACTTCGCACACCAAGTTGACTTTATTACGCAGAAATTGCCTCGACTCGCTCGCCACGAGTAATAAAGTGTCGTCCGCGAAGCAGACCATACGAGTGCCCATCGGTAACCCCAAGTTCAGAATCTCGTCATAGGTAATTATCCACAACAGGGGGCCCAACACCGAGTCCTGTGGAACCCCGCAAGTCACGCCATAATTAAGTGCTGCACCGCTACCTTTAACTGCAACGACAGATCGACTTGACAAATACTCCTTGACAATATTTACCAGATAAGCTGGTATCCCTTTGTTCGCCAACGCAGAAACAATCCGGTTCCACGGCAAGGAGTTAAATGCATTCTTAATATCTATACTGATGGCCAAGCAAAACTTGCCCTCAACAGTATAACCGTCTACAATGTCACGTACGTAGTTAATCGCGTCGCAAGTCGATCTACCAGATCTAAACCCAAATTGATTTGGATTGATGCCATCGTTAGGAAGGGATCGCATAAATTCCATCAGCCTACCAGCAATAACGCTCCAATAATTTGCCCAAATCACTCAACAGGCAAATAGGCCTAAACGAGGATGGAGAATCATCCGTCTTACGGGCTTGCGTATAAGCACGAGTCGCGCTCGCTTCCACATAGGTGGGAAAACCCCCTCCCTCAGACATTTAGTAAAACGTACAGACATATAACTAGGGTTGACTGACTGGGCCATTTGGGCAATACCGGCAGTAATGCCATCGAGACCAGGCGCAGCCCTACGCGAACATGACTTTCCTAAATAAGAAGGGAGGGTATGCGTCACGGCGGGGCCCGACCACGAACCAGTCGTGAAAACTCGCAATTATTTTTGCGAAAAAATATCACCTCAGCCAGGAATCGAACCTGGATCTCCTGCTTACCGGGCAGGCATCTTATCCTTTCGACTACCGAGGCATGTGATGATATTTATCGCAAAATAACGTGTTTAGAATAATACGTCAACAATACAATGATACATATACATATACATATATTACAATATATACATATATACATGTATTCTTTCGAATCCCCACGACCGGTACTCCAGAGCGATGTTGGTCTCTCACTTTTTAATCGCCAGATCAATCTCTACCTCGGAAACCTCTGGGATAAGGCTAACATCTACAGCGGGTTTGATCCAGACATCGTGTCCCTAGTTGGAAACAATAAACGAACAATCTCCTCGACGTTAGACAACGGGAGGTAGTCTATCGGAGATAGCGGTTCGCGATTCCGGATACGGCGCAATTCTATACGGACGACCCCAGGGGTCTCCCTCGATCTCGTTAATCAGCTCACTCCATGCTGCCTGTTGCGCCCTGCTGATCGCCTTCTTGAGTTGTTTCGTGCACCTTGTGTATGTACGACGTAACTCGCTGACGAGGCTTCCCGGGGAACTCTCTCTTCGACGTGCCCTAGTGAAACGCCTCCTCGCTCTGATGCAATCTCTGCGTATCACGGCGATATCACCAGACCACCAGTAGACTCTTCTGTGGAAACGAGTTCTCACCTTCCGCATAGAAGCGTCACACGCATCAAAAATATCCTGAGACAGTTGGGCAGCTACTTTGACCGCACTCATTTCAGATATATCCCCGTCTATAAGGGAGGAGGTTACAGAAAAGGCCTCCTCAAACTTCTCCACATTCACCTCTAAACTCCAACCTTTAACAAGGCACCTAATGGTAAGGTCCATTGCGGCAAGGACGGAGAATGGACCAATACAAATAATTGTGATCCGAGAGCGAGCAACAGGAGGCAATCAACCCTATAACGAAAGTCTCGAGCACCACCGCCAGGAATCAAACACAGGTCCACAACGAATTTGCCCTGCGGTTTCTCGCAAGTTGGAACCCCAAGGTGGTTTGCCACCACCAACCCAACTACGTCGATCCACTCCTCCAAAATCACCCCCCGGACAGTGGTGACACGGTCACCCCAACTGGTGGATCGAGCATTAAAATCACCGGCCACTACGGTTCTGGATAACACACCGAGACTCTACACAAGAGATCATCGAGGAGAGAATTAAATTCCGCGAGGGATCTAGGGGAGGAGTAGAACTAAAAATCCGCGTGTCGTTAGCCTCCACGGCAACATAATCATTTCCGCGATACAGCAATTTAGTCGAGATGTTACCTCTGTTGTTCAAAACTAGAATGGCACAGTTATAGTTCAACGATGTGTACCACATACCTGCAGCAGTAGTCTTATATGGCTCCGAGATCACCGCGATATAGGCCCTGCGCTCAATCATCCTGCGAATCAAAAGATCCTGGGCCCTCCTATCGTGATTAACATTGATTTGAATAACTTTATTCATTATTCAAATCCATAGCCGTCCCCTCTACCGGCGCCAACCTCCGAACTGGCTTGAACTTTCCGGGAAACTTTGCTGCCCCACATCGAAGACTATCTATTCTGTGATTATGCTGTATGCCGGCCTCAAAGCACAGCACGCACCTCAAAACGCCCCGATACTGCTTCGAAATATAACCCTTTTCCGCACACTTATAACACGAACGGTCTGCCTCACTCTTACACTGGGAACTCAGATGACCGAACTCCAAGCAGCGGTAGCACGGAGTCTTCTTCTGCGGCATCAGAGTCATTCTAATCATGGACCATCCAATAAGGATCTTGCCTCCCGAGCAAGTCTCAGTGCAGCAACCAGGGGACACTTCACCCACACAATGTTAAGCCTATTCGCCAGTTTCAAGGGGTCACTAGGAATGACTGCGTCCAACTTGCACCCAGTAAAGTCGGCTATAGCCCTGGAAATCTCTCCTCCTTTAGATAGAATCATCCAGCTCAGCCAGTCTAACCTCCGCCATCCTTTCCGGACGAGACACTCTAACACTGGGACTTACTACCTGTTTCACCTTCTCGGCCAAGAGATCCGCCTTGATCGGGTTATCCTTCCCCTGTACCTCAATGAGGATATTCTCAGATTCCGTATATCTGGTTCTGGAGCGCTGGATACCCTGCTGCTTGAGAGAGATCATTTCTCTGATCTTACGAAACGACTCAGGGATCACACTCTTGTCTTTAAAGTTAATCACTACGACCGAGGATCGAGGAGGCCGACGCCTGTCCCCCGGACCTCTCCCGAGCCAGACTCATCCTCTCCTTTCTCTTTCCTTCCATGAAGGGTTCCCCTTCTCCCACTCCTCAGACTGGGTAGAGTGGAGGAGGAAGTGAATCCCTCCCTTCCTTCCCAGAAGCTCTCTTCCTCTTCGGCTTCCTTCCAATCACCCTCCACTCACCATCAGTATCCGTGGCGGAAGGCGGAAACACATCCGTGGCCGATGGATCAGACGTGTCTATAGTCACCCTTTTCGATAGAGATGACCGGGGTTTACCGGTAATCGGTTTCCTGATGTCGTTACCTTCCTTAATTCCGACCTTTCTTGATGTTATAAGTGCATCCACCGGGACAACGGAAGGATCACGCCCAACGATCGTAGAAGACCTCGAAGCACTGAAGAAGCCCTGCGCCGTGAACAGCTCCACCATGCGGCTAAAAACGGCAGAGGCCACCCTCTCCTCCACCACAGGTAAGCTATACCCACTTTTCTCACCGAGGGGTGAGGTAGCACACGCCTCGCTATACGTCTTCCTTCCAACATTTTCGGGGGACTTCTGCGAGGAGCCAACAGGATGCCGAGAGGGGATCTCCCCTCTTCCGGCACTCCAGGGACATCCAGTGGTCTCTCGGATCGTTCTCTCGTTCTTCTAGATTCCAAAAGAAGACGTTTGTTCTTTTTCTTCAAGGTGTTAACCTCCTCCGTCAGCGACCTGACCTCCCTCGAGAGGGAGACTACCGTGCGTCTAAGGTTGTCATCTTCCACCTTCGTCTCAGCCCTTCTAACAAGTTCCTCCGATATTATCTTCATTTTCCCGAAAAAGGATCTGAATTTACCATGAAATTCGCCCTTCATCTTCGTACATCTAAAACGAAGGGACTCGGCCTCATCTGCAAAATATATCAATCTCGCCCCCAGATGCATAGTAGGCATTCGCAGGTCAATGACGTGTCGGGTCGTGAATCGATTCCTCTTTCCCTTTCGCTCCATCGCCAGAGTCATCACTGTCAATGACTACCGCCCTCCTTTTTTTTGCAGAATGAGATCCGACGCTACTGGCTGTCGACATCTGGTCCTCCTCCGGTCGAGCCATATTCCAGCCCAGTTCTCCAGTCGGCCATGTCGTCGCCGCCTCTCTAGGAACCGGCTTGTACGAACCCCGGTAGTTGGGGCCAGGAGGACGACCCCTCCGCTTAGGCTTGGCCAAGACTCGCCCTGTGACACGGAACGCGACGAGCGTTCGTCCAACATAGGGGAGGGAGGAACAAAGTCCCCCATATTGAGCCTCCTCGGGGAATCTCAGAGGTAGGCGCTCCACGCTCACTCTGACCTCCTCATTTCCAACTCTCCTCGGTTCTCGAGAACCAACTGGAGAAGCCATACTTTTGTCCATGTTAAATGCCTCGGTCGACTTAAATGATCCATCCGGCGAATTGGCTTGTTGAGGATCCATTTCCATATAATGTTCATAAAGCGGTTCGCCCATCATGGGAGCCCTACCGCGGTAGAGCTACTTCCCCGCTGAAAAGAAATCCCTAGCGAAGAGTACAGAAGCCAAAAAGTGGCTTGTCAGGCGGCCCACCCTATCTGCACTAAAGATGACTCTACTGAAAAAAGGATATGGGATAGGCCCACGCCATAAGTGATGTTAAAGGTTTAACGTCACCCCTACTTACATGGATCCGTACCCCTCCGAAGGGCGGACATCCGTGCCTCAGGCTAGACGGTGCTGCAATTTGCCCTATGCAACTCCGGGTATGGGAGAA